GACCCACGCCGCCGCGTCGCGACACTGGCCCTTCTCGGGGCCTCAGACGTCGCCACAGTTGCCGCCGAGATCTTTGCAACGTTTCGCGATCGCGATGCCAGCCCGCTGCACTTGGTGACAAAAGGGCCAGCGCCTTCTTATGGTGTGTTGCTATGCTACTCAATATGCACTTGCTCACTTCCCGACTCTCCGCTCTCTGTGTGGTTGGCGTTGCACCGCGGCAGCCACAGTCTCAATGATAAAAAAGCAGCTCCAATCCGAACAGATAGAGAACGGCACACGTCCGTACCCAACGCAAGAGCGTCATAGCTTAGCAAAAGTCGAATTCCAAAACGAAAAAGATAAAATCAATTACAGTATATCGATAGTCGTGGAAATATGCACAGATACAGCAGCCATCGAAACACTTAGCACGCGGGCTTGGTGCGGCGCTTGATCTCGACCGAGTCAAAGATCGTCGTCGTCTCGCCGTTGGCGCGGTAGTAGATCGTAAGCTTCTCATCGTCGGCAACCACACGCGACGCGCCATAAAGCGAGCTCGACGTCGACTTGGACCACTCGGGGATTGGCGAGATCGCGCCCTGGTACAGACCATGGCCACCCGTGCCGACGGTAAAGTACACCGGGGCACCGGCCGTGATCTTGTTCTTGTAAATGGGCGCCGTGCGTTCGTACGCGTGCACGTGGCCGGCCATGACGGCGTCGACGCCGTACTGGAGATAGAGGTCCTCGAACTTGCCCTGGAGACCGCAGTGGGGCTCGCTGCGCGGGCCGCCAAGCTTGCCGCTCGTGGCCGTCGAGTTGGTGTAGTAGTTGCCCTTCCAGCACGCCTCGACATCGTTGATCTCAAACTTGACGGGCGAGCACTGACACTGGTGGTTGGCCCACGTGTTGTAGTACGGGTTGTGCTTGAAGACGATGAGGTACGGCGTCTCTTCGCGGTTCACGCTCGCGAGGTCCGCCTTGAGCCAGTCGAGCTGCTGGTTGCGGTGCGTGAGCCAGTAGTCCGAGCCAATGTTGTCAGCGCCAAGGATGCCCGTGTAGTCGTCGAGGAAGACAGCGTGGATGTTGCCAATCTTCTTCGAGTACCACGTGCGAAGATCCTTGTTGGCGTCGGCCGAAATCGGCGTCACGATGCGGTTGCTGTAGGCCAAGTAGTACTCGGGCTTGCACATGTTGTCGTAGTTGACGCCGTTGCCCTGGATCACTTCGTGGTTGCCGTTGATGCCGAGGAGCGGCACCTTGGAGAAGAGCGGCTGCGTCGCCTCAAGCCACTTGTCCCAGTCGGCGTGGAAGCCGTTGGCGTACGCCCAGTCGCCAGCGACAACGACCGCGTCCGGCGTCGAGCCCTTGAGGTCGCTGCCGAGGTTCGAGATCGTGTCCTGGATGTGCTCAATGCCCACGTCGCCGATGACCGAGAGGACGGTCTTCTTGCCTTTCGCGGGAATCGACTTGAAGGTTTCCTTGAACGAGCCGACCGAGTACGTGTACTGCGTGTTGGCCGAGAGGTCGCAGAGCTGCGCCGTGTGAAAGTTGGGCGAGGCATACGTGCAGTTGACGTCGTCGACCTTGTACGAGTTGATGGTCGTCGTCGCCGTCTTCTCGGTGCTGCCTGCGCTGTACGTGAGCGTCAACGGCGCCGCCGCGTCGCTTGCAAACGTGATCGACACGCCGTCCTTGCAGCCGACGACTTCGGACGAGAGAGTTACGTGGACCTGCGAGACGGACGTCGCGGCGGTCGCGGCGAGAAGCGAAAGACCAGCAAGGCACTTGGAGAGCTGCATGTTTAAGAGGCGGTGAATGGTAGAGTGAGGAAAGACGATGCAGTCAACTGCAAGAGGTAGTACCTAGTCGGCGCTCAATCTGAGGCCCGTGGGACATGGGCTGTTCTCAGATAGCGACGGCGAACGCTCCTCCGGTGGACCTGGGAAGCGTGAGTCACGTGCCAGATTCAAAGCAGCTGACTATGAATCTTGTCGGGTCGTCGAGCGCCGCATCCAAAACATGTGGCATGACATCTGGTCTGCGTGGGAATCTCAAGACCGAGCAAAACGCAGACCTCGCTGCGAACCGCAGGAAAAGATTTCGACGGTTTCGCGCAGAGTATGCCGCGGAATCGAGAAATGCCAAGTGCGTCCGACGGCGTCAGTCCCAGTCGCTACGGTGGGAGTACTAAAGCACCACATGAGGAAAGTGCTTGGCATCGTCGCATTGGACCTTCCGTGAGTCCGCCACGACGAGTACACAACTGGTACTGAATGTCCTGATCATTTTTCTTGGGATGGCGACTGCCAATCACCATGAACCTACGCGCAGGATGATGGATAGCGACATGAGCTATAAAGGACAGTAGTCGAATGGATGGACTGTTCTCTCATCTACATAGAACAGAGGAATTCTGATGGGTAGCTCGGTACAACAACAAGGTCGCGAGTAAGGTCGGGTAACCAGGTATGTCGCTGTTAGGTGTCGTGTAAGCAGGCAATCTTGGCCCTCGCACCCACTCGGTCGTGGTCGCCTTTGTGTTCAAAAAGCTAGCAGTTTCAGATGCAGCACTTGAAGTTTCAACATTCTCCCATGCAGCGAGACCTGCACGAACAAAAGCTACCACTAGAAAGCACTAGCGGTAGAGTGTACGGAAACGAGCTATGGGTCTTGCCAGCTTTGCACCAAGAGTACCGTGTACGCACCGCGGTGGGCGCTTGAAGCGCTCCAGAGCCGTTCATTACCATATGGCACAACAGATGGGAGTCACGCGCGGCGCATTGTCAAGGCGAGCTGTCCATGCGATGAATCATGTACGAGGTATTCTCTTCAAAGACTTTTGTCGACGCTGAACGGGCGATGCGACCTGTGATGTTGTGCGTGAATGATAAGGGTTCTAGTACGAGTGTTGTCGCGATTTAAAGCTCACAGAACTCGTGAACAAGCCGGTACCGTTGTTCTTTGGGTGCGAGCCAGCCCAGGCTGGCGTGACGCACACTTGGGTAGCTCACTTGGATGGAGTTGTGTTGTGGAGATTCATAGACCACTGCCTAGAACGAATAGTAGCAGATACCGGGTCGTATCTCTGTAAATCTCAGGAATCAACTCGCGGACTCCAGTGGCGGGGCGTCAGACGAAGGATTTTTTTAAGAAAGCGCGCGCCACGTCGTTTCTCGTGTCGGAGGCACCTTGGCAAGCGTTAGTGGTGAGCTCGTCTGTCATCGGTTCGTGGTGATTGCGGAATCGGGTGACACCGTGCTGATAATGGGGGAAACGTTCCCTGGTATTTCTCGGTGCAATTCAAACTCAAGGGCCGGATCCCTTTGCTTGGCCTTGAGCGCCGTGTAGTGTGTTGTCCAGGCGGTGGCTTCAAACGCTGTGCGTTTTCTCTTCGTGTCCAGCCGATGCAAAAGCCGCGTCAACGGTTTGTTCATGAGCGCTTGCACTTGCACAGGCTACAAGCAATTGCCACCAGCTTACTACAGGTATACTATTAGCAATTGCCACCAGCTTACTACAGGTATACTAATAGTACGCGTATCTTTCCAGCGAAAACATCTGGTGTTACGACGCGGAGGAAAAGGCGCACAATTCTTGTCAAATCTTTGTATTCGACGATGTTGCTCTTCAAACGTGCTCTAGAGTCGGTACCTCGCATTGGCCTCTCGTCAATGCCGTCGGCTGCAGAAGCGGTGTCCGCATCGCGATTGCCAGTGACGAGGCGACGCTCATGCTATTCAATAGCTGCTACATACAAGTCGGCGACAACGACCATCACCGCAAACCAGACCAAGATCATTCAAAACACGTAGTACAGGCGCCCGACGTCCACACGGTCCAGCTCTGCAACCTCTCCATGGATTCTCCAAAACCGTTCACGGTCGGCAACGGAAATGGCACCTTCAAGGCCGTGCCATCCTCTCGGCCGTCGGTGCACCAAGCCCGTGTATTATGGAGTAAGCTCATGGCGACATCCAAAGCCACTCTATGTGTGAATGCGACTTATCCAAACTTGACATCGACTTATGTGCAATGCAAAAGCATATTGTAGCCGTCTCAGCTCTTACGCTGCGTGCTGCCTGAACGCTTCGCGGTACGACGATTCCTACCAAGGTACAAATCCGTCCGAGGGAGCTGTGAAGCCAACAGTGAGCTCAACCTCGGAGGCTAGGGATTGCCAAGATATTTCCGAAATATGTTTGGTCCTGCGATGCAGCTTTGATTCCCGGCGGGTCCCTCCCATTGTGCGTAAAACGTCCCACCACGCTAAATGAAGGTACACTTGACCTAGCACACGAGCACGTTTCAAGCATATCGCAGTTCTGGCAAGAGGGCAGCCGCAAGAAGGGCCTTCCTGCGAGACCGCCTTGCTCGAGCGTTTCGCTTTATATCGTGTGACGTACTAATAAATGGTGTGAGAAAGAAAATGGTGTACTGTGTAAAATGGTGTATGTATCGAATATCAAAGGTTGGGTGACAGTATGCAGTCTGCGAGGATTGCCGCCTTCAACCGCACCGCCTCTTTGTCGCAAACCGTGTTTGAAACACCTAGGTGATTGTTTAAAACACAGAAGTTTCCATCCTTTGACTGCAGGGCCCCCAACGGACACTACAGAGCAAGCACGATGTACAACTACCGGCAGAAGCTCCAGGCGCTCCTCATCCTCTTCTTCATCGTCGTCGCGATCGCCGCCGATGCTGCGTGGATCCCCTGGGTACATGCGCGCCTGCCTAGGTAGAGGCCTCATGCGTCGTCGTTCTCGTACTAGGCCACGGTCGTCATCTTCCTCACGATGATCTTGGTCGTCGACATGCTCTTCCTCGACGACAACCAGTTCAAGTTTGACCCCGACTACAAGGTACGCCCATGCGATGATGGCCCGCGCCTCGTTGCCCACGCTCGCGTCTGTAGAACTGGTCCCGCCAAATCGACCCGAAATACTAGTGCGACCTCCGATAGCCTCTACGCTTCTCGACTAATGCATGATCCTCCTTGCGTCGCGTCTTTCTCTGCGTGACGTCGTCTCGGACGACGATGGCTCAGTAGACAACGAGATGGCCACGCCCAAATGGGCTGCGTATGGGGCTGCTATGCACAGACCGTTCGCATGCCGGGACCAAGGCGTGGCTCGTCCAGCGTTGCGCGCTCGGGCAGGCAGCCATCCAGCGCATGCGTACATGGGCGACGGCGCTGCGTAGCCATTGGGATGGCCCTTGTACGACGCTGCTATGGATCGACGCCCGCCGTCGACGCCCCATGGGCCTGATGGGTGGCGTTCCATGATCTTGCCCGCCACACGATCGGGCGTCACGCTCCACGACCGAGATAGAGCACTGCGCTAGCACTCGCGCTACCAGCTAGCTCTACCGAGCCCTTGTGCGCTGCCTACTGTACTGGCCATGGAATACCCGTTGTTGGCAAGCGTGGTTACTCTCGCCACTGCTGGATGGGCAGATCATACACCCGTCCATCTCATTGCTACGCAGCATGATGAGTTCACGCTGCTCGTCATCTCTAGCACTGCCATGTTGACGGCCACCTCGTCTCGCGCGTATTCCTCTGCGTGCTTGCAGCCATACACCTCGCGTCCATGGACGTCGACGTCTGCCGTGTGTCTGGACAGTCTGCCATGCATCGTCTGCAGTGCTTTCGTTGCGAGGCCCATCGTCTTCGTCTCGCCCATGTAGCATGCGACCTCGCAGGTAGCAGAGTCCGCGGCTCGTACCTTGGCATCCTCGCCACGCTGGCCAGCGCGTGGTCGGCGACCATGTTCACGGCCCCTCTGGCAGCGCACGAATCATCGAAACTCCTGTCGAATCACATACTTTGTATTCACTGTCGCAGGTACCTTTGACAATTGATGTGCTTGGCATCGAGTATGAAAGGAACGACGTGTGTCATTTTCGAATTCGCCTGCCATGCCGTCCGTCGTCCCGCCGCAGCAGACGCTCGCCGAAGCCTTCAACAAGGTCGAGCTCTCCGAGTGGCTCTACATGCTCGTGCCGCTCATGCTCCTCGCGCACTTTACGATGCTCATTTTGACGGTCATCAACCCCAAGCGTGCCCATACGTTTACGGTCGGCTGGTTCGTGCTCTCGGGCTACATCCACAGCTACCTCGAGCTCTCGTTCACGTTCTTCCGCGACAACCAGTACTTTGGCGGCGCCATGGACCTCTACTCGGCCTCGGACTACCGCTACGGCTACCCGATGGAAGAAGGCACGGCGGCCATGGAGACGATCACGTATGACTTTAATGCTTCGCTCGGGCTCATGCCATGCATGGTGTAGGGCGCTTCTCGACGGTCCGTTGTGCCTCTTGGCCGCGTACGCCTTTGTCACCAACAAGAGCTACTACCACCCGGTCGCCTTGATTGTACGGCGCCAATTATTCGGATGCAAACGTTTTATTGTGTGACACGATTAGGTGAGCATCATGCAGCTCTACGGCTTGACGTGGTTCTGCCTCCACCCGCTCTTCTCGGAGCACTCGCACGTCTCGTCGGACCCGGGTCTCTTCTGGGTCATCTGCGTCGGCATGAACATGCCCTGGAGCATCTTCCCCAGCATCCTCGCGTACAAGTCGTTTAACGAGATCGTCGCGCAGTTTGAACGCAACGCCAAGCCGGCCATTGAGGCCGAGGCCAAGAAGGCCAAGAAGGCTTAAATGCACGCTAATACCACGTGTGTCTTGGGATGTGCCCATCTCAAGGTTGCCGGCTCAAGCAGTATCATCGAGTGTCATCTCGGTAATGGAGAGGATTCATGGAAAGCACAGAGCATCCTTCGCCTACCGGTACTCTTGAGTCTGTCACAGTAGGCCCTTGCGTAATCGTGATGGTGTCCAGTCGACACCTCGGCGTGACTTCAATTCTCAAGGCCATCAACTAAACGATCTATTTTGTGGCTGAAAAGATTCAATTGCGTCGGCGCTTGCGTCTTGGTTCCGTTCGTCGTCCTCCATCGTCGACACCCTTCTAACCATCTGTGCGCGCGGTCATGTCGCCTTCATGTGGAGATTCATTCCAAAGTTGTGGCAGATGCAAACAATTATTCGTCATATGAGTGGTCGAAATTATGGTGAAATGCATGACGCTCGTGGCTCTCATTTGCTGGATCCCCAACGGCACATTTTGGATTGGCTGAAAAGAATGAGGTTTCAACCAATCCTGAGGGACGCCATTGCGATCGTTACCGTGGTCGAAATAGCTCCTTTTCTGCCAATCAGAATCTCATATCTTGGCTTTGGGGGCTCGGATTGGCTCTATGAATAGCACGCCAGCCAATGACTGCGTGATATTTTTAGCGCGCCAAGTTGCCTTTCTACTCGGGCGTGTCAAAGTGCAAGATGAACGTTGAGATCGAAGCTCTGCACGGCGACTCGTCGACCGCGACGCTCCGCCTGAGCCCGGCCATGCAAGGCCAGGCCGACAGCGCGGCCATCGCCAAGGTCGCTGCCCTCGCCAAAATGGAGCTCGGGCTTCCGCGGGCCGCCAAACTCGGTGTTCAGATCCACGGCAGCGCTGTGCACGTCGAGATGCTCAAGGGCGCTCGCTCGCACGTGAGCTCGCCCCGCCTCAGTGCGCAGCACACCTTGCCCAACGTGTCGGTCACCGACGTCTTTACGAAGGCTCCGTTCACGCTGTTTGAAACAATGCCGGCCAAGGCGCCCAAGGCTGTCCTCGGTGCGCGATCGCGTATTTTAAGACATGCATGCTAACGTTACGAGTAGTGCTGCTCGATGGGACGACCAAGGCGCTGACGATGCAAGCGCTTCAGGCGCAAGCCATCGACCTCCAAGCCAAGCGGCGCGACGTGCAGTTTATCGTCCTTCATGATGCGCCGTCGCCCGAGCAGGTCGCCGACAAGGTCGCGCTCAAAAAGTGGTTTTTCCCGCAGCAAACGCTGCACCACTACCACATTGCCTGGTAAACATACTCTGAGATAAGGCGCGCGTGGGGACTTATCGTATTTTGGTTAGCGACGCGCTTCTCACGCTCAAGAAGGCACTGGGCATCACGGCGACACCGTACCATGTCCTTGCAGACGCCGTGCGCCTCGATTGTCTTTACTTCCAGAACTCATGGACGGCATGTAGAGCCATCGCGTGCTCGCCCACGGCCCAAGCTTCAGCTTTGAGTTGTTGCAACCGGCCGCGATGCCACTGGTGCCGTCGACAACCCTCTACGTGCCGCAGGACGCGTGCCATGGCATGGTCTTCCCCAACATCGATGTGGTCATCCTTCCGGCACCCAACGCCCGGCACGCGCGCAGCCTCTTTGAGCTGCTCGTGCCGACAAAGTACACGATCCTCGGTACCATCGACGCTCTTTTTGATGGACATGTTGTCTTATTCTTGACCAGACTTTTGGTCGACCACATGTGCCAAGAGCCCTGCGGCCATGGAAGCCCTCGTCGCACACCACGCCCAGCACAGCGGCGACTTGCCACTGCAATATGTCCTCATCAACACGGACGATCCTCTCAAGGCGTGGGACCGCGTCCAAGCGCACTACAAGAACACGGCGATCCTAAACGTCTACTTGGCGCCATCCGAGAAGGCGACGCTCGACAAGTTCCTCGGCCTCCAACAGTCGTCGCACCGTGTCTTCTTGCACCCGGTTGGTCCTGGCGATCGTCCCATGTACCAATGCTGCACGCTAGGCCCGCCACGTCATCCGTAATGGCTCCTTCTTCTCGTACGACATTGTCGACATGATGGTGCACCATATGCCGCCGACGCCGCCGTCGTCGCCCACGGCGTATCTGCCCGGCCACGACGCTTGCCACGGCAAGGTGATCCCGGACGTGCCCGTGCTGCGCCTCGGCACGCAGATCGAGCTCTCGCTGCACGCGGTGCTGGCCACGAATCATCTCGTCGTCCTCGGTAGACGCCGATGCGTGGACGTGCGATCGCCTCATGCCGTTGCATAGACTTTTGGTCGACGACGTGCGTCAAGTGCCCCGAAGCGATTGCGACGTTGCTCGCCCACCACGCCGAGCGCGCGCCCATGGGGCGGATCCAGTACATCCTCATCAACACGGACAATGCGGCGAAAGGCTGGTCGATGGTGCAGACGCGGCAGTGGCACCACGACCCGCGCGTGCTGCATCTGCACGTGTCGCCGACCTCCAAGACGGCGCTGCAGGTCTTTCTCGGCATGAAGCAGGTCCCGCACCACGTCTACCTCGGACCAGTACGCGCTTACCACAACGCATTAAATCCCAAACATGCGGACTGTAGGATCATACCGTGCGTCTCAACGGCAGCTTCTTCTCGTATGCGGCGCTGGACGCGCAACTTCCGGTGAGGCAGTGTCGTACGATATGGAGCGCGAGAGGCTCAAGCGCATGTACAGGCGTCGCCGACGGTGTTCCCGGCCCATGATGCATGCCACGGCAAGGCCTTCCCAAAGGTCATTGCCACCGACATGCGCACGATGATGCCGGCGGACTTGACGAGCCTCCTCCCGCGCAACCGCGCCGCCACGATCCTCGGTAGGCTTGTATCAACTTGATACACGCGTGAACCGCCCGATAGATTTTTGGTCGACGACGTGCGTCCAGTGCCCGAATGCGATCGCGACGCTGTTGGCGCAGGCCGCCGCCAACACAGACACGACCGTGCAGTACGTGCTCGTCAACGCCGACGATGCGAAGACCGGCTGGGCCATGGTGCTTCAGAACGGCTGGGCCTCGCTCCCGAACGTGACGCACGTGCATGTGACGCTGCCTGTGAAGGAAGCGCTCAAACGCTTCCTGGGCATGAAGCAGTTCCCGCACCACGTCGCCCTCGATGCAGTACGTGGCATGCTACTGCATGCGACTCATGGACCTGTAGGCCAACGTGGTCGTGGCCAACGGCAAGTTCTTCTCGTACGACAGAGGCACCGGCGTCGCCAAGCCGCGGTTGTCTGTAGCGGCACCGGCGTCATCCGTGGCCGCGATGCCCTCGCCCGTAGCAGCGAAGCCTTTGCCCGTGGCGTCGACGCCAGCATTTGTCCTCGACGACGACTTCTAATCTGCTCGTAATACTACCTACATCCTTTCACTTTTGCCATTCCAGTTGGCTTTTAAGCGTGTCGGCCACGTCCACTTGGCGCTGCGTTGCAGCGTGCGCGCTCAACATGCCTGCTTTGGCCAAAGACACTACAGCAGCCGAGAGGCCGCGTGGAAACCACGTCCGTGTCGAGCGACGAGGTCGTCGGGAGTGGTTTCGATGGCCATGCAGCGCGCCCATGTACGCAGCACCGTCGTCAACGGCCAAGAGGCAGGCAAGGTGGCACGGAGAGGATACACAATAACCCTTTTTCTATTCCATAAACATACCGGCGGATGGTACATGTGTGGTGCGGGCGTTTACTCGTCGTCCTCGTCGTCCTCCGCTTCCTCTTCGTCGTCGAGGTCCGACTTGAACTGGCTCCAGTCAATGTGGTGGTACAGGCGGCCGCGGTTCATCGACTCCCAGAGCGCCGACGTGGTCGAGCCGTACACGCCCTCAAAGAGGACCGCCGCGACGACGATCGTCGAGACGTACGTGATGTTGTTCTTCATGAAGGCCGCGTAGATGGCGTCGAGCGAGCCCTTGCCGTTGATCGACGTGGGCTTGGGCGCCGACGAGAAGGCGCGGGCGCCGGCCGTGCGGAGGAAGCGTTGGGCAAACATCAGTCAGTACAGTCCAAAACGAAAATATGGCTGGCCCCGAAGCCGTCGACTTCCTCTTTCTTTTGATATTTCGCAAAACGAATACGCGAACATATGCATTGTGAGAGGTGGCACATAGATATGAACGCCGACGAAGCGCGATGGCGGCGGGACGACGGGCCGTGGCCCATGCAGACAGCATTTCGCCGACAACGTACACGCATGGCGGATGCGCCACCATGTGTCCTGCAAGGTCGCGCGCGATAGAAGGTGCGGGCGCCGCTCGGCGGCGGCGTAGTGACAGTGAAAGTACGCTTGACGGCAACGGCAACGACGCCATCTTGGGTGTCGCCGGCACATGGGCGAACCGACGAGCGATAGGCGTACACGAGCGCGTCGACTGTCGTTGGCGTAAAGAGAGGATACAACAACATGTTGGGATCGTGCAGCGAGGAAGCAATGGAAGACGCTGCGTGTTGTACAGCGTGGGACGCTAAGGCATTTGCCTGCGTAGGTCCCGCCGTGGAACGCGATATGGACGCACTAGCAGGTCGTGATGCGCTGCATCGAGTCGAGCGCGCAACAACTGAAGTGATCTTGTTGACTGATGGAGTCCGTTGCCGTCAACGGCAACTTTGCAGCGACGACACGCAACATGAAGGTTCCATGGCTCCTGCCGCTGCCGTACGAGTGCGATAGACAGCAGTGCCTCAACCTGCGCTACCGTTGAGATGCAACCGACCTAGTGTTTTGCTCTGCATGTACACGGATAGCACAGGCCTCGTCAAAGGGCAATGTCCTACTGCACCATCGAATGACCACGACGCTAAACAATTCTCGGACCGATATCACCGAGCATCATCGCCACTTGATCAACGTCGTCTTCTCCAGCACGTTATGCTCCAGCGTTGTACTCCACTGCAAAGTACCATGTATTCGGCACGGCATGTCGTACATCGATGCCTTTGCTGGGCAGAACCTCCTTGAAGTCTATCGTCCAAGTCCATATCAGCGCCAAGTACGCTTGTACCTTGCATGTGTTGCTACAGCGGAAATCCGGTCCATGCGCTCCAGGAGGCAAGTTGACAAGACCTGGGCCGCTTGCTTGGTTGTTGTCGCCGGGAGCCGGACGCAGTGCTTGCAAGGATGCCTTCATGCCGCCACACGTGTGGGCACTTGCCGTCCGCGGGATGAATGGCTCGGCGTCCCTCGGGGCCGACGTTCGCGGCGCTTCATTTCGAAGCCGCTGGACGCGCAACGAGCATCGACACATGTGCCACAATCTTATTCCGCGGCCATCCGTGGTGCCAAATACGGCGCGGTGATTGGCCAATCCAAGATCGCGCGACCAAGACGACCGTCCATTTTGCCTTTTCGACCAGCATGCTGCTTCCGATCGCAACGACCTTGAACGAGGCGCCTCTGCGCGCGTGGAGTCTCCTCGGACCCGTGTACGTCCGCCTGTCGGCACAGGAGCTTTCGACTGCGGCGTTCTCGCATGCGCTCCTGGCGACGACACGGCTCTATGTCGGGCCTTTCGCGCCCGACGCCATCGACTCGGCCGTCACGTGGCTCGACCACGGCGCGCACAAGGCCGTGTTCCACACTACGTACACAGCGCTCGTGACCGGCGGCATTGCCTTGGACCTGCCCGCGGACCGCGTCCTTCTCTCCTTGGCCGTCACCAGCGCCGACGTGGTTGCGCTCGCGACGACGCTGCCGGCCGTGACGGCGTTTGCCTCGGGCCTGCTCTTGCAGCTTCCGGCCGACGTGTCACCCGAGGCCGTCCTGCCCTTGCGCAAGGCGCTGCCCGAAGGATTCGTGGTCGCGATCGACGCGCCGGGGACTGCGATCGCAACGAACGTCGGGCCGTTGCATGCACAGCGATTGAGTCTGGCAGCAGTGCCAAGTGCCAACGACGATGTCACCGACGCCTTTGTCCGGTGCCTCAAGAGCGACCGTCCGGACGGCCTGTTTACAACCGTGGTCACCGACGCGTCGGGCGTGGCGCTGGGCCTTGTCTACTCGAGCGCAGAGAGCATTGTGGCGTCCGTCCAGCAGCGGCGCGGCATCTACTACTCCCGCTCTCGGTACTGTGTAGCAAGAACCATCGACTTGATCCTGACTCGCATGCTTTTACGTAATAGAAATGGTCTGTGGCCCAAAGGCGACTCGTCCGGCCATGTGCAGGAGCTCATCCAGCTGGACATGGACTGCGACTCGGATGCGCTGCGGTTCACGGTCTTCCAACACAGTCCGGCGCGCGCCACGACGCCGGACGCTGGCAGCTTTTGCCACCTCGAGACGCGCACGTGCTGGGGGCCGGCCATGGGCATTCGCCACCTCCAGGCCACGCTGCAAGATCGCAAACAGTCGGCGCCGCCGGGCTCGTACACCAAGCGCCTCTTTGATGACATGACGCTGCTTCGCAACAAGCTCGTCGAGGAAGCGCAGGAGCTCGCCGAGGCCACCGGTAGTCCTATCGTTCTCCCACCGACGTGGTCATAGTACCGTACGTAGACGCCGTGCACGTCGCGGAAGAAGGCGCCGACGTGCTGTACTTCGCCATGGCCCGCTGCGTCGCGGCCGGCGTGAGCTTCCAGGACATTGAGCACCAGCTCAACATGCGCGCGCGCAAGCTCACGCGGCGACCGGGCAACGCCAAGGCGTACCGCATCGATGCTGCCAACGCGATTCTGGCCAAGGACCAGTAGCTCGACGTACAGTAGGACGTACTAGTAGATATGCTAATGACCACCAAGAGACGGGTAGCATGCGCATTGATGGACGTCGCGACGCGTAGCCCGCCGGCCGTGGCACCGCGCGTCGTCGCATGTTGAAGTAGGGGCGCAATCCATGCCTGTGGCTGATCCTGCCTGCCTCCAGCCGCCTCCCGATCAGATCGGGTGGTGTGTTAGAAGTGTCGGCGTCGTTATAACATTGCACCACGCCGTTAGATCCGCTGCCGAGCGCGTTACAACGCGTGGCAAGGCGGCCACGATACCACGCTGGGCCTTGCCAAGGACCTTCTCGATGCAACGAGCCCCGCCCGTCAAGTTGCTGTTGACGATGGCAGCTAAAAGTTATATATAGTCACCTACTGCTCGCACCTACGGTGGCAGTGGCATCATCGCGGTGCATTGAAGCTGCGCTGGGTGCAGGCTAACTCAGAAAGGCCAATGACCGAGCCCGCCGACGTCGCACGCAAGGAGCAAAAATGCCTGTCACGTCTGTAGCCAGGTCACACAAGGGACGCAAGTGGGAAGAGAGGTGGTGCTCTATTCTGGGTTGCAAGCTCGTCTGCCTGCGCTAGCGGGTGCACAGTGGTAGCTAGCAGTAGCCAAGTGAATGGCCATTCATCCGAGGAAGCCATGCATGGTATCCTTACGATGGCACATCCCCACTGCCTTGTCGGGTGGCGGCCGTCATGACTGCAGCCTTGGTCGTCCAGACACGACAGAGCCTTCGTGCTTGTAGCCTTGCATGTCGGGACGGGTGCTTTGCCGTCGCGATTACAGCAGCGATGACAGCAGTCGAAGCTGCGGCCACCACCGCCACCAAGTGCCCACGAAGCTTCTTCAACCTCGTTCCAGATGATGATGGGAATTGCTCACGGCCCATGCGACGTTATAACAATCGTGTTAGAATCGGCTCTTCAACGGCCCGGCAGATGTCCATGATTGGCCCATGTCGCGTAATTTTAACCAATCACAGGTCGTCGTGACCGTTTGGGCGAACTTTGGACCCACTTTTCAACCTGCAACCCGATGGCGATTTACGAAGTACGTCCTTGCCATCCTCGCAGCGTCTCATGCGGCGTAGGACTCCCGCGACGCGCTGCTGCAAGCGGCCAAGGAAGGGTCTCTGGATGAGCTCACGGCGCTTCTGGCCAAGTGCGGTTGCATCGACGCCAAGGACGATGTAATGCGACGATCTCGACCTTTTGCGAGGATAAATGGTCGCGTAGGTGGGCCGGACGCCATTGTACATTGCCGCCAGCAAAGGCCACATTGAGCTCGTGCGCGAGCTTCTCGCACAGTCGGACGTCAACGCGCAGACGCGGGTATGCGTGTTCCGCGGGTTGAAGACAGCATGTGATCGATGCGTAGGAAGGTGCAACGCCGCTTCTGATTGCGTGCCAGTATGGTCATCTCAACGTTGTCCAACTGCTCGTCGAGTGCGCCGATGTCAACATTGCCGCCAACGTAGTTTATGCATCTCAGGCCGCGGTGCTGACGTCTGCTACTAGGACGGCGTCACGCCCCTTTTCATGGCCGCGCAGGTCGGATCTCTCGCGATTGCTCGGCTTCTCTTGGAGAAGAAGGCCGATGCGACCAAAGCCATGCACGTACGCTCTCATCCTCATGCACCACCAACGCCTCATGCTTGCATAGAATGGCGCGACCCCGATCGTTGTGGCCGCGCAGAACGGGCACGTTGGTATGGTCCAGCTGCTCTTGCCGCATGCAAGCCCGACGGTCGCGATGGACGGCGGTGCCACGGCACTGCTCCTCGCCACGCAGCACGGGCACTTGGACGTTGTCCGTGCGCTCCTTGAAGCAGTGAATGATGTCGACATTCCGCTCTCGGTACACCACCCTCGTCGTCATCTCGCATCTTGACGTCATGTATAGGATGGCACGACGCCGCTGCTTCTGGCGAGTGCCAAGGGCGAGCTGGCGATTGTCGAGCTGTTGCTTATCAAGGCCGACCTCAAAAAGACGCGCCAGGTAGAGCTATCGTCGCTCCATCGATAGATGGCAACGGCGAGCGTAGGATGGCGCAACAGCCCTTGCCCTTGCAGCGCAATACGGACACCATGCGGTGGTCGACGTGCTCTTGGCCCAAGGCGCTTGGGTATTCTTCGCACCTCTTGCATCTCTGTTAAACAACCGGGCTAGTCGCTGGACGCCGTCACGAGCGCGCTGCGCTTGGCTGCCCAGCACGGCCATGTCGCCGTCTTCAAGCAGCTCTCGACGTTTTCGCCCAAGGCCATGCACCACACGATGGAGGTAACATGCCTGTGTCTCTTGTCCAGACGCTTGAAGCGGCGCATTGTAGGACGGGACATCGGCGCTCATCGTGGCGGCTGCGTGCGGCCAGACCGCGATTGTGGACTTGCTGCTGGCCGCCGACGTCGACTTGCTCGCCGCCACCAAGGTGCTACCGAGAGCATGCATCGCCACGCATCCTCATGCCAAGTAGACGGGTGCGACGGCCCTCATGGTGGCGACGGAGCACGGCCACGTCGGTCTCGTCACGACATTGTTGCCGAGATACCCGTCGACGGCCGCCCGCATGCGCGTACGAGCTTGAAACCTTGATACAAACGTACGATGGGAACATGCGTAGAACGGTGCGACGCTGCTGCACATTGCCGCGCAGAACGGCCACGGCGCGCTCGTCGAGACCTTCTTGCCGCTCACAGACGTTGACGCCGAGACGCTGGTAGAGCTTCCTCCTCCTTCGGCATGCGTGCATCATGGCGCGGCATGGCTAGGATGGCACGACGCCCCTCATGCTCGCAGCGGCCAAGGGCCATGGCCACGTGGTGCGATCGCTCATCAAGGCCGGTGCCAACGTCAACCTCCTCTCGGACGCGCAGTCGTTCGCGCTTCTGGCCGCGGCGTCGCATGGCCACGCCGACGTGGTGAGCCAGCTCGTGGACGCCGGCGCCAGTGTGCAGCAGGCCACGGACGACCGTGCAACGCCGCTCATTGTCGCGGCTGCGAAAGGCCATGCCAAGTGCGTCGAGGTCTTGCTCGCGCATGGCGCCAGCATCGACCACACGATGAAGGTACTGCCGTCTTAGCAGGACGAAGAGAGTGGCTCATGCAATAGTATGCACAGGACGGGAGCTCCGCGCTGTTTGTCGCGGCCGCGAGCGGTCATCTGGACGTCGTGCGACTGCTGCTACAGGCCGGTGCGAACGCGCACCAAGCGATGAAGGGCGGGATGACGCCGCTGACGGTCGCGGAGCAGTGCCACCACCATGAGGTCGGCGCGCTTCTAATCAAGCACGGCGTATAGAGTCGTCGTCGTCGCCGATGCATGCTAGTAGTCGTCGTCGTCGTAGTAGAGTAGTCGGGCGCGCCGGTTGCAGTCGCGTCTACCATGCACGAGAAGCGCTCGTGGTGTAAAAATGTTGTCTTAATTCGTGTTGTCACGGTTCTTGAGCGCTATCAGCTTGACCTTGCGCTTGTACTCTTCCGGGTCGTTCTTGAGGTCCTGGAAGGGCTCGCGCTGCGCCGGGTCGGCCATGTTGGGCGAGTCGAGCAGGTCCTGCACGCCCTTGAGGATCTGCTTGATCGTGACGCTGGGCTTCCAGTCCTTGTCCTCGTTGAGGATGCTCAGGCACACCGTTCCGCTCGGGTACACGTTCGGGTGGTAAAGCGGTGGCACAAACTTGCACAGCGGCGGCTTGCTCGGGTAGTCTTCCGAGAACGTCAGCGACATCTTGTAGGTCCCGCCTTCCCAGATGGTGCCCACCTTGCCGGGAATGCCAGCCTGCCACACCATGATGTTGAGGCTGCCATCGTCGGCCGCGACCGGCCGCGCCCAGAAGCCCGCGGGGTGGTCCCGGCGCCAGTTCTTGCGCTCCTGCCGGAGGCGCTGCGCCGCAATCGAGTCGGCCATTGTCAGTCCGGAAATGACCGGTCGCGGGCCCGGATCCAATAATTTGCACCCGGCGTATTTCTTTTCACACAACCATGATTTAAAATACATACAAGGTCAATACAATAGAAAAGAAAGGGACGCTGAAACCAAAAGAATACTGTAAAAGAATACGAAAAACGCGCGCTGATTGGACAAAATGTGCTTCCCGCCCACGGCGTATCCGTATCCGGATACGCCGGTGACAACGATGCCAACGGAATTGCCGTATCCAGTACTAGTCCTACACTCCAACAAGACGACGCTGATCGTTCTACCAGCGGTATGGCCCAAGTCCATGCACCGGTATATACCATACGCAATGTCGGCGGGTATCAGTGTGACATCAGAAGAGAAGAAAGGTCGTACCCATCGCGGTAATGACAAATCGTTCGGTGGCACTGCATTGTATCAATGTACCAAGTTGGTGCGAACGCCACAGGGGAATTTCAACCAGTTCCCTTGTCACCAGCAATTCTCTACTTCTTTCAAACCGTACGCTCGTCAGGGGGTTCCTACCGTAATGTAGTTGTAAATTGGCTCGATTCGTCGTCGCCGGTGGCATCTTCCGTCGCACTATATTAAGGGTGTTCTAGCCGGCTACATGGTTGAAAGGGCCTTCGCCAGCATATATGGTGTATGCTTCCTGAACGAAATATTCACCGAGGGGTCGGTTTTGAGGCCTAAGCGCAGACAAAAGCGGCCAGTCCGATCGAATGCGTGGGCGTAAATCGTCCTACAGTGTTTTTTCTAGCTCGTGTCCAAGTCTTCGACGCACGCCAAGACGACGTTGAGCCGGTCCATGGACTTTTCGAGCCGCATGAACGCCACGTACTCGACGCCGAGCGGGTGCTCTGTAAACGCGGGCACGAGTTCGTGCAGAATCCACACCAATAGCTCTTGGCGAAACGCGTGGAAGAACTGAGGCGGCGTCCGCGGTGCGTCGGCGTTGCGTAGCTCGTCGAGCTTGTCGTGGTACGCAAGACTTAAGCGCTTTCCGACGTCCGTCTCGAGCTCGCAGCGGGGCGAGAGGCACTGCGCCACGAGGCGCGACGCGGCACTGAGGGATGGCTCGCCGGCTTCAAAGGCAGTGATCGCTTGCAGCGCCAGAAGCGGCTCGGTCGTATACTCCATGCGCGCAAACGTCAAAACGTTCCGGAACCGGTCATCGTCCATCAAGAACTTTTCCAAAATCGCCTTCTTCTCGAGCATGCTGTGCGGATGGATCCGCGACGGCGACCGCTGCACGCGGCGCAGCGTGGCGTCGCCTAGGAAGAGGTTGACACAACATCGTTCGAGTCCTTCTCGGGGAATCGAGGATGCGTACGTGACGCTCGCATCGCGCGCACGGGCAAGAAGACATGAAAGTAGAGCATCGTATGCGCCCCAACGACCGAGAAGAAGCTCGGGAGCCTCAAGCTCCGGAGCGTGTCGTCCCGTACACCGTCTGCGGCGACGCGCGCGAGCACGATGAGGACAAGGACGAGGATGATACCGTGGAAGGTCTGCTGGTACGAGCGACGGAGCCCAAAGTTGTCGACGACGTGGCTGATGTACCACGAGAGGATCAGCACAAGCAGGAGGAGGCAGACGACTTCGACAATGAGGATCAATGTCAACTCCTAGTCCTCATGATGTCCCATTTTTGAAAAGGTTGAGGAAGCGCACCTGGTACTGCGGCGAGACCGTCCCGACCGCGTCGGGCAGGAAGAGCGTCTTGGCATCGACACGCAAGAAGGGCGTGACGAGCCCGACGAGGACGAGTGCGGCGAGGAAGATCTGAATCGGCGGGTGCAGCAGCCATCGGTATAAAATGAGTCGCCGGACTTTGCGCGGCGTGCTGGATTGGGGCAGCATGAGCAGCTCGGTGATCTGGAAGAGCACAACGATCATGGTCTCGGTAATGATAAAGAAGACCCTAGGACGACGACCGAGGATGAGCAACTCTTGGTTGTAGGATCATGCGGCGGTAGTACAGTGCCATCGGAATCACGATAAAGGTCAGGACGTAGCTCCCAAAGCTCGGCCAGTCCTTCCCAAAGACGCTTGTTGCTGGCATCACGATCGCATAGACCGTGAAGAGCAGCATGGGCACGGCGGTGCGGCGCGGAAGCCGGTACTTGAGGCAGATGTGGCGGGCGCGGCGGTAGTAGATCCAGAGCACCGGCGGGAGGTACCACCCCACGATAAAGAGCACGAGCATCGGCGCATCGCTCGCGACCACGGCCATTCCGCGCGAAAGTGCACTTGGAGCGTTTCAAAAATATCTGCCCCGCCCATAATATCCGTTATCTTAGACAAGACGCTGCTCCGTCACACTACTGCTCCAGCGTCAGTGTAGCCTACCGATGCTGCACTTTCGACATAGCTACAGTGCGCTTGCTCGCCTCTACCAGCTAGTTTCTGTGCCCAGAGCGAAGAGCGCCAGATTTCGCATATATCCAAGTTTGTATGGGTATACAAACCTCGAGTGTGATGCCGTTTCACACCTTTGCTTTTTCACACCAAGAAAAGCCAGGCATGCGCTGGTGGACGCTCTTGGCGCTGGCGCCGGTGGTCCTCGGCGACGCGCCGCTCGCAGCGTACCTCGAGGCGCGCGCCAACGACAGCCTCCTCTGCGTCTATCTCTTCAACGCATCCGCACCGTTCACGTCGCTGCTGGCGGACTGCCCGTTTGGCGACTTGGCACCAACGGCGGCGACAGCGCTGTCGCCACGCCACGGCGTGTACTTGCGCAGTATGTCGTCGCCGCAGGACGCGCAGCTCGTGTCGCAGTCGCCCGCCAAGGCGTCGACCATCTACCCCATGGCAATCGGAAAGGGCATGACGTTCGAGCTCGTGGCGCGCGTCTACAAGCCAGTGCCGGCCAACGTCAACGTCAACCTCTTTGCGCTCGCATCGTCTTTTGACGACTGCACCAACCCTGGCATTCGACTCGAAGTCAGCGACCGCCAGCTCCTCGTCCTCATCTTCTACTCGCTCCAAGCGACACCAGGAGGCACGACGATGGTCTGCTACGAAGAGAGCTTTTACTCGATGACCGAAGCCGACGGCGCGTGCCAAATACCCGTCGGCACGCGTGACGCGCCGCCGCCGTTCGTGCACCTCTTCGCCTCGATCGTACCTGACGGCGGTGCGTCATGGACCACGCGTTTCTTCATCTCGTTCGTCGACGCGACGGGAATGCACACGTGCTCGTCCCACAATTCGATGGGCGGCTCGACAGCGCCCGCGGACTTGACGTCGGTGACAGGGGCATACACGCTCTACGTTGGCAACAACGCTCGCGAGCCCCGAGCGCGTCCGCCTTCGCGCGCCACGCGGCAGTTCCAAGGGTCCACGCCGCCACCGACCCTCCCGCCGACCGTGCTCTCGCTGCTGCAGAAGGGCCAGGACCGACTGGAGCTGCTCTTGCCGTCGTCGGGCGGCGTCTTCTTTTCGATCAACGGCAAGAAGGTCGTCGATGTGGACCATGACGGCATTGCATTTGGCAACAACGGCACCAAGTATGGACTGCCGCAGCTGACGCGCCTCGTGTCGACGGCCATGGATGCATTAGGTCCAACGAGCGCGCTTTTCAAACAAAAGAAAGCGACGCTGGCTGCGATCGCCAACACCACGTCACGCATCGACTGGGCGAAACACCCGACGCATGCGCGGTACCCACCCCCAAACGCATCGGCGCATATGGATGTCTTCTTCTTTGCCATGGCCGCCGTCCCGATGGACGCCGAGACCTTGCTCGCACGCTCCGACCTCTCTCTGCCGCACCTCGGCCTTGGCAGAAACCGCACACTGCACACGGCGCAAGACACGAGTACTTTGCTGCGTTTGACCGAAGCCATGTGGAACGACCCCGCCGCCGCGATCCGACTCACGGCCACACCCGTGCGAGGCACGCTCCAGTCGTGCGGCGAGCCTCGAAAGAACTTGAGCGCCGGCGACGTCGTCGTGGATCCGTGTGTGGCCTTTGTCCCACCGCCCGGGCTCTCCAATGCCAATATGCCGCTCCACAACAAGTACATGGTCTCTCAACGCCGCGACCCGTTCGCTACCGTGACGTATGAGCTGGCGCAGCAGCCGTTTAGCACATCCACGGTGCTCGAGTTTTTTGTTGACGCAGCGCCGGCGCCAGCACCAACGCCAAAGACAGCACCCACCATCGTCCTCGTGAGCCCGCCCTACGCCATTGCATCCAATGCGCGATACCACGGCGACGCATACTTTTCGATGCATCTGTTGTCCAACGCGGAGGCTACGACGAGCTACCGCGCGACGCTCAGTAGCGCTTCGAATGGCGGTGCGCTCCGCTCCCACGCGGATGGCCTTTCGTCGCCGACTGCGCGGATGTACTGCCCGTTCACACCCAACCTGACGGCGCTTTGCTTGGCCCGCGATCGCGACAGTGATGGCGTCGTCTACGAGCTGCACGGGGAGCGCCAGAGCCCGACGCGCCTCGTGTTTCGCGGGTCACTCGACCAAGTGCGGCGCGCGCTCTCGAATGTATCGCTGACCAACTGGCGTCATTCGCCGCATAGTGCCTCGGTGCGTTTTGAGCTGCAAGCGTTGACATCGCTCGAGATGCTGGTCGCGCGCACCCTTGTCGTGCACTTCACCAACGGAGAGACGACGTTGCCGACGACCGTGTGCTCGAACCTCTTTGGCTTCCTTCCGCTGTGCACCGAGTCGTTTGGCAACGGGGCTGTGCTCGGCACGCTAAGCCTCATGGCACTTACGACGTGCGTTTGCCGCCGCTTGAGCAAAACGCAGCAGGCAGCGCGCAAGAAGTGCCAAGCGACGTACCAAGTCGCGACCCAAGACGAGTTTACCGGCATCTTGGACCAGCTCGTGCGCATCATGCTCGAGCCGAGCTTGGAGGGACCGACGCTCCTCTGGCGCGCGTGCCGCTACGGGCCCGAGCAGTCGCTCTGCCTCGAGACGCTCGTCGTCGTGCTGAGCTTGCAGCAAGCACTGCCCGCCTTTCTTGCCCATCTCCGGAACGATCCGGATACGGCCGATGACGTGGCACTCCACGCGCGCTTCTTTTGTAAATTCATGGGCCGCGACTGGTTCAACCGGGTTCTGGCGCACGCCAACGGCGTGGTGACGACGACCTTTACCGAGGCCTTCTTGCACTGCGTGCGTCAGAACCTTCACTCGCTGCCCGTCGAGATCCGAGTCCTTGCCGACAGCATTGCGCCCGTCCACGTCGTCGTCGTCGACTGGTTTCTGCTGCCGGGCCTCTCGGTCGTCGCAGGCGACGACGACGCCCATGCGATCCGCGATTGCATGAACGTTTTGGAGCATGGCAGCGCCGATGCCCGGGTGCGGGGGATCCTTGAGGCCATCGCTGGTCAGGACGCCCAGTACATACCCGAGTCGAAGGAGCCGATGCTCCTCCATCGGGACTTGCTAGCGCACGTGCTTCGACACCTGCATTGCCTCTGCGCCCACCACATGCACACCATGGCCAAGACGACAGGCGCAGTGATCTTGGACGACGAAGATGTGCCGCCGACAGGCCAGCGCATTCGCGACGTTGTCTTGGCGTTAGGGCCGATCTCGATCAGCTTGCCCGGACTCCTTGCGCTCACAAAGGCGGGCCCGCTCGTCCACCATCCTTAATATAATCATTCTTAATGCAACCCTGCTAGGCTTGAACCAGTGGCTAGGTCATGATTGTCGCTGATGTATTCTTGTGATCTGCGTATCCGAGGCCACCGGAAGTGGCGCATCTCCGAAGCCATCGCGAGCGACACGATGGATTGCTACATGCATGCGGTGCTCCTTGGGCAGACGAGCAGGCAGTATGAAGTCGTTGCACCAGCGTCGCAGAGTACATGGCATTAGTACGCCGTTAGCTACGCATGGCTTAATCCTGCTTCAAGAGGAACTCTTCGCGGGTCGTGCCTTGGGCCGTAATGACAAAGAGCTCGACCTTGTCGCCTGTGTAGATGTCGCGCTCGCCGGCTGTGATGAACGCATCCTTGATGATGTCCTTGGTTTCTTCAATCGTGTATTCGCGGAGCGGGTCCGCCCGCGAGTCGTGCGTCACGAGGTTGTCGAGGAGCGGGATCATGAGATGGCCGCCGCTGCCCTGCGCGCCGCGCGTCGTGCCCTTGTACGACCCGACCGCGTCGTACTCGTACACGACGCCCTTGCCGCTCTTGTCAATGCCGCAAAGCAAGCAGAACGAGTAGTACGGGAAGAAGCGGCGCGAGTAGAGCGTGTTCGAGAGGAGCTGCGCCATCGACTCGACCGACGGCGACACGTCGTTCTCGTGCTGATACATTTGCGCGCGGATGCTCAAGACGCCACGCAATTGCACCACGTCGTTGAAGCTGCCGGGGCTCGCCAGAAGCACGTTGTTGGCGACCGTGTGCACCTTGCTCTCGTCGCGCGACAGGATCGAGTAGCCCGTGCTGAGGCGCGTGTCGCCGGCGACGACGACAAAGTCCTTGCCCGCAACCGCGAGCACGGTACCGCCGTTGAAGTCATACGGCTCCCACTGCGGGCGTCGCTCCATGGTGGCGGCCTCCATCGGCAGGCGCATCGGGCCATCCGTCGTCTCAACTACCGGCAGCGTCATCTTCGTCGTCTCGGTCGTTGCTTTATGACCCCAAACGCTGGCTTCGACTTCGCATATATCGACTTACAGAGGTTTGGTGGTGCCGGGGCACAAAAACACTGGATGTTTGTATGCCGCCTGCAATTACCGGCCAAGATCGCGACCAAGACCCCGGTGTACAAGCCATGCCCCGGCGACCCGGTGTACAACAGTGCGATCTTGTAGTACGATACTATTTCCATTCACTTTCGAATAGTGTGCATAAGGTAGAGTATAGTATGATACGTTTCATCAAATAGTATGATTAATCGCATCAAATAGTGTAGTCGCGCGATGCCATTGGCCACAGTACAACAGGAAGATGAAGGTGCTCGCGGTCTCGGAAGGGCCGCTGACCAACTACGAGGTCATGACGCTCCTCGAGGAGCGCAAGAAGAACCGCATGGAGCGCAAGGGCCCGCAGGCCACGCTCTACGCCGAGCGCAACTGGGTCGACTCGAAGGTGCTCAAGTGCCTCCTCCAGTCGTGCGCCAAGCATCTCAGCGAGGAGAAGATCTCGGGCTTCCTCACCAAGATTGGCCGCTTCGAGCTCACACACGCCGAGAAGCTGCAGTTCCTTAACCACTGTCCGTCCGAGCTTGTCGACATCCACCTCATCGTCGAAGACTGTGCGAGCCGGCTCGACGAAGACCAGATTGCCGACTTGCTCGCGATCGCCGTGAGCACCCTCGGCAACGATGCGGTCGAGGTCTAAGCATCATCGTCTCTTTTTTATGTTTCGTATTATTCGTGGTCTCGTGCAAAGGCAGCAGCTACTGCTTGTGGGCCGCAATCATCGCGCGCGCTTCCGGGAACATGCCCGCGTACTCTTGCGGCGGCATGAATCTAACACTAATCTGCCGGCAGTTGAACCAGCGGCCGTGGAGGCAGTGCGCCGCCTCGCGCGACGCCGAGACGGTCGCAAAGCAAATGTACACGAGGCCGCCTTCTTTCGTCTTCTCGACGTAGCTGTGCAGCACCTTGCCGTAGCGGGCGCACTCGTCCTCGACGTCTTGCTGGATCTCCGTGTGCCACTCGGGGTTGCCCGACCGCTTCTCCTTCTGGAGCTCGAACATGTTGCGCACGACAAAGCACATCGAGTCGACGCCTTCAATGTCGGCCGCCGCCGACGCCGCCGCGCGCTGGTTCTGGGCGTTGACAACGGACGGCGCAACCGGCAGCTGGTACGACGGCATCGCACTCGCCGACGCGGGCGGCGGCATGAGACCGGCACCACCGGCGAGCTTGGCCATGAGCTGCGAGCGCGAGACCGAGTTGAGCGCCATGCCGCCCGTGCCTTCTTCGTCCTCGAGCTTCCAGTTGTTGCCACCATAGTTCTTGTTGTTAAAGGCCGACGGCGGCGCGTCGCGGTGGCTCTGGTACGAGTGGTGGTGGCCGCCGCTGCTACCACCGCCGACGCCTTCGCCTTCTTTGACGGGCCCGACCTTGATAAAGTTGCCCGCGAGTTCGAGGCCGTTGGCCTTGGTGAGCGCGAGGTTGGCTTCCTCGGGCGAAGAAAACTGGATAAAGCTAAAGCCCTTGGAGCGCCCCATGTCATCGCGGTTGATAATGACATTCACCACGTCGCCAAAAGCGCTAAAGACCGCTTTCAAGTCTTCTTCCGTGATGTTGTTGTGGAGGTTACCGCAGTAGACGCGAGATGCTGCCGCAAGCGACAGACCCTACATGCATATGAGAGGTCGAAGTATAGAGCAGGAAATCGCGTACCGTGCCGCCGCCCGTGTAGGCCGATGCGCCGCCCGAGTAGCCACTCGCACTCGCCTTGGTCGTGGGGCCCGACGAGAAGACAGCGTCCTTCTTTGCAGCAAAGTTCTTCTCGGCCTCGCTCGCCTTGATCATGATCGGGAACGACTGGAACGATGGGACTTGGCCGTTCATCGTGAGCACCTTCGGGATGTCTTCTAGGTTGGAGAACTCGACATATGCAAACCCCTTGGACTTGTTCGTAAACTTGTCGCGGATGAGCAAGACGTGCTCGAGCTTCCCGAGCGAGCTAAAGAACTTTTCCAGGTCGCGCTCCCGGACCTTCTGCGTGAGCTGGCCCACAAAGATCGTACGGTGGTCTCGCGTCAGCTCCATGAGCTCGCGCTGCTTGGCGCGCTCGAGGCGCTCGGCCGACGTACTCCGGGCCCGCGGTGGCTCCACCGGCGCCTCCTCCTTGGACTTGGATTTGGAGCGCGAGCTCGACCGGCGCGACCGGCGACGGCTGTCCCGCGACCGCGAACGCGACGGCGACCGGCGAGAGCGACGGCTGCTGTGGCGGTCGCGCGACCGATCACGGTCCCGGCGCGACGACCGACGTTCACGCGAGCGCGAGCGCGAGCGACGGTCCCGGCGCGACGAGTGGCGCTCGCGGCTGGAGCGCGAGGACCGCGACGCATCGGCAGGCTACACATACAGAGCTTCAACCTCACGTCTCAACATGCATGCTCATGGCCGTACCTTGGCGGTCTGGAGGCCTTGCTCGAGGAGCTTGTCGATATCGTCGTCCATGCTGCTCATGATCCGCTGCTTTCTGTGGTGAAAATGACGACCGTGAAAGCTGATATCGAATTCAAAGAGGTTCGATCTTTTCGAACAATATAAATCGTCTTGCTTTTTGTATACATCGCATGGATTTCTAGAACCTACCTTTTTATAACCACTCTTTCTTGCTCTTTGTATGCGATTAAATAAAAAGGCACGGCATACAACCACCAAGTGTAAAATCTAACACCGACCATATCTTTGCTGGAAACGTGCTCCAAAGACTTTGGACACACTCGGCGCAATGGCAACAGCGGCTAATTGAACCCAATTCGTACGCCCACGGCCTGGCCTTTGCTCGCATCTACGCTGGGCGTTCACAGCACGTCCTTGCCAGCAATGCGACATGTGGTGGGGTCTCTGGCAAGAAACTGCTCCTTTCCACATCATTTTACATTTTCAAATAAATACCTTGCTTTTTGTATACATATCCGATAAAAGGCGTGCATTGCTCACAACACGATGGTGTGGCCACCACCTATATGCTCAGTTTAGAAACACGCAACTTGTTGTGCATCGTGGTTCCCTCCGCATCGCGCGGCGCCGAAGACGCGTCGTCGCCGCCGACGGCCATGACCGGACGCCGTCTACCTCGCAGCGGACATGCAGGCGTCGAGGGCGTGGCAGCGGATGCATGCGTCGTCGGACAAGGCGGCGGCGTGGCGGTGATTGTACGGATACGTATCCGGACGAAGGCGTTTGAAGTGGCTTGTTGACTTGGGCTTTCTATGGCGAAGCGATCGATGGCGTTTTCGTATGGGGCGGGTTCCCAGCCTCTTGTCTTAGTCATTTTCCAAGGATCCGGCTTGCCGCGCGAAGACGACGACGATGAACTCGAGCGATGCGGACCGCCAAATCAAGCAGATGGTGAACTTCATCTTGCAGGAAGCGCAAGAGAAGGCCAACGAGATCCGCATCAAGGTACCTCGCGTCGGCCATCGCATGGCCACAGCGGCGAAATGACCTTGGTAGACGGAGCATGATTTCAACCTCGAAAAGCAAATGCTCGTGCACAACGCCAAGGTCAAGATCCAGGAAGAGTATGCGCGCAAGGAAAGGGAGCGCGAGATCAACAAGCGCATGTACACGCCGTGGTTGTAAATAGCGATTGACACGCACGCGTAGCGCCCGCTCGGCCGAGATTGGCGCGTCGCGCCGCAAGAAGATGATTGCCCGCGAAGAGCTCCTGCAGTCGCTCATCACCGAGGGCAAGGCGCGCTGCGGCGAGGTCGCCCAGCACGAAGGCGCGTACCGCACGCTGCTCCGCGACCTCTCGGTCCAGGTACACACACACCACCACTGTCTCGTCGTCATTATATCATCGTCCTATGCTCCGTAGGGCTTGATCAAGCTCCACGAAACCGAGGTCATGCTCGCGGTCCGCAGCAAGGACGTGCACATGATCGAGTCGTTGGTCCCGGAGATCGCGGCCAACTATGCTGCCATCATGAAGCAGGAAGCTGGCGTCGACATGCACACCAAGCTCACGGTCTGCAAAGACGAAAAGCTCATGCCGCCCTCGCACAGCGCTGGCGGCGTCACGCTCGTCGCCAAGAACGGCAAGATCGTGTGCGACAACACGCTCGACACGTACGTTTCGACAATCGAAGCAAAGAGATGATGGACATGTTTAGGCGCTTGATGACGGTCAACTACGACGAGAAGCCGACGATCCGCAAGATGCTCTTCCCCGAGATCAAGTAGACCCCTCGACGATCATGTCTTAAGACGCAGCCTGTGTCTTCTTGCGTGTTTTTTTCCATGTCAACGCGCTTGCTATCTAGAACTAGACCAAGTGCAGCTCGCTCAGGACGCTGCTGCACTTGGCGTTGACCTTGACGGTGGCGAGGCCGTCGCCGCGCGTCGGGCCAATGTTGACAATCCCAATCGGCACATGGGCGTCTTTGGCGCGGAGGAGGAAGCGGTACCCGGAAAACACATGCAGCGAGGACCCAAGCACGAGCATCGCGTCCGCCGTGTCGACGTCATGGTAGATCTACTGCAAGCGTCGGCCGTCTTTGAAGGTGTACTGCATGAGGATGACCTGCTGCACGGTGGCCGGCGCGACGGAATCGCCAAAGAAGACGACGTTGGGCTTGTAAAACCCGACGCGACATAATGGGCAGTGGGCGACGTGGAAGAGCCGCTCCATCTCCTAGTAGAAGAAAGCGTCGAGTCCTGCAGCTATCTTGCAGAGTCGTCGTACGGTCGAGAGGTACATGTCGGCGTCAGGTCGCACTTGCATGGCATTCGCCAGCGTCTCGTTGTCGGCCTGCACCTTCTCGACAAAACCTGGGTTGAGAGCGTCAAGGACGACCTGGAAGTCCTCGCGGGCCATCGCGGGCGCGTCGCACGCCGGGTTCATGCAGCACACTTCGTCCATGGAGCCATGGAGCTCAATGACGTCGCGTGCGCCGGCCTTTTGATGCAGCCGGTCGACGTTCTGCGTCACGAGGCGAACGTCGCCCCTGCGCACCGCCCGACCATGAGACGAGAAGGAAGAGGATTAGGCCGTACCGCGAGTCGTGCTGCCACTGCGCGAGGACGACGTGGTTGGCATTGGGCTGCGCGCCTTGCCACTGGTGGCGGGCCATGTAGTTGCGCGCCCAGTAGCGCTGCCGCACCTGGTGCCATGTGAGCGCCTTACGAAGATAGGACGAGAGATACAAGCGTACGGCTTCGTGGTTCATAAAGTCGCGGTGCTCGATCGGCTTGTGGTTGGAGCGGGCGTAGAGCCCGACGCCTTTGGAGCGGTAGTCGGGGATCCCGCTCTCGGTCGAGATGCCCGCGCCTGTGAGCACGACGACCTTGGATGCATGGTACAGCATCTCTTGCAGCTTGCTCATGGCGTCGTCGTCCGGCGCCTCGTGCGCGGGCACGTACATGGAGAAGCAGCGTCGCGCGACCTTGCGCACCTGCAGCATGAGTCCGGATGCGGACGCCCGAGATCCGCATACGACGCGACCCAACGAAGGCCCGGGAAGCCACGTGCAGCCCTACCCCTGTTACCGCTGCCATCAACCGACCTGCGTACTAGCAGTACCTAGGAGGAAGGCAGCTCGGTGTCAAGGGAAAGAGGCGTCACGGTGGAGGTCGGGCGAGCGGTATTGCTGCCACTTTCTGTTTCCAGAGACTGCCAGATGTCGTCCACCGGACAAAAGACAATCTGTGCACAAGAAGGAATGACCGTGTTAAAACGTCTGGAGACAGGACGGTGCGCGCTTTTTGCTCATGCTGAACCCGAGGTAGTCAATATCGGCATCGACGACCGGGCTCGTCGCCACGGACGCCCTCTGGAGCATGACGGCGACTCGGTTCATGCCCATGCGCAACGCCATCACAAGCGCTTCGTTCGCGTCGCCTTCACTCCGGTTTTGCCGCAGGAACGCGACAACGTGAACATGGCCCGCCATCGCCGCCCACGTCAGCGCCCGCTTCGTGCACGGCGCGTTGGCCGCATGCACACACGCGGAGCGTCTCGATCTCCCCATTGCGCGCTGCAAAGTCCATCGCATCAGGCGGCACGGCGTCTACGAGCGGCAGCAAGTAGGCCACGATGGCGCGATGGCCGTTCGCCGCGGCGTTCCGGAGCGCGCGCGACCGACTGCCTTCGCGCCGGTGGCGATCGAGGAAGCGGACGACGTCGAGATGGCCGTGCATGGCTGCGTCCTCGATCGCCCGGTCTGAACACCCTTCAGGCCGCTTCGCGTGCAGCAGCTGCACAATGCCAAGCCGTCCATGGCCTGCGACGTGCCACCTTCCTGTCGGTGCGTGTGGAGAAAGTCGACGACGTCCTGCGTTCAGGGCCAGTGACGTGCAGCCTTCGTGTCGGTGGTAATGCAGAAACTCGAGAACGTCAAGGTGGCCGTGCTTGGCCGCAGCATCCATTGCGTACACCGTGCAACCCTCACGTCGGTGGTCGTGGAGGAAGCGGACGATCGCAATGTGCCCGTGCTCGGCCGCCGCATTCATGGCCCAGACCGAGCAGGTACTCCCGCTAACGTGAAGGAAGAGCAGCGCGCGGAATTGACCAGTGGCCGCCACATAGTCCATCACATTCATGGAGACCGCTGTGGGGCGACGGCGATGGAGCTGTTGTAAAGCCCAGACATCGAGCGGTGGCGCGGCTCGCAAGCACGCAGCACGGCATCCAAGCCAAATGGCGCCGATGCGAACGAGCTGGTTGATTTGGCGCAGATGCACATGCGTGGCCAAGAGAGGCTGTGGAAGACCATCTTGGAAGGATGTGATGAGCCCGACCAAGTCGCGACTTGAGAGCACGGTCGTCATGACGCAAATGGTGTCGTGGGCTATCGGTCTAAATGCTGGAGGTGGTACTGTTGTCGTTGGTATCGCTGTCGTAGATCGTGGTGACAACCGGCCGTCACGTGCAGCGTCGATCAACTGCAGGGGTGGACCTCGCAATACACACCGCCGTACTTATCTAGAACGGTGGCAGTGGCACGACCACCTCTCCACCTACCACTGCAGTGGATTGTTGTAGGCGGTCACCCAAGTACTTTAGGATTGCAAGGGCTCTACTGGTACAAGTATGTAAGTAGACCCTTGCGGACACCATGCCACGTATATGTGGCGTGATTTTAGACAGATTGGCCCGGCGGAATCAGCCCAGGGGCTGGCCTCTTCCCAGGATGGATTGGCCCGAGGGGTCGAACCGTTCAAGGACGATGAGCATAAGAAGCGCCTTGCCGAAGGAGATGTCTGTCGCGGCGTCTGCAACGTGCTGCCAGATTGTATAACTTGGACGAGGTTCGAACCCACGACAACGACACGGATTTTGGGTGCATGCAAGGAGACAACAACCATCGCGACCAGACGCAGCTACCCCAATCGAACGAACTCTCTTTCATCACGTCAACGCGCAAGATGCGACACACTGTACGTGGGCTACAGCCTCAGGTTCCACGACGAACCTTAAACGAGTTTCTGTAGCGTCGGCGCAGCCTCGAGGCGCAGACAGCTGAGACCATCTTTCGACTCGATCAAACACGTACTGGGCAGCGACACGCGGCTAGAAAAGTAGGGTGCGTGCAGCACCATGGTGTGGTACTCGCCGTTCTCGCCGCAGACGTCGACGCCGTCGGACGCGTGCAGGGCGCACAGATCTCGCAGTGCTTCGCGCGTGATGCGTCGCCCGAGCCACGCGGCAGCATCTCGGAACGACGCTTCCTTGACGCACGAGAACACGACGTGAAAGTCGCGCTCAAGAACGAGGTGCATGAGCGCTTCCCGCGGCCGCTGCCAGAGCGGCGCGAGGATCGCCATGCCCACGGCCGCGCACCGATCGTTCATATAGTTGCTGGTGCTGGTGCCAATGAAGTCAATGTCGCCCGTGACGAGACACTCGATGCCATGGTCGTTCTGCAGGCGTCGCAGCGCGGCCTCGTAGCTGCCATCGTAGTCGGGTGGGCGGATCGTGAGGAAGATATGGGGCAGCCCGATGGCCGCCGCCTGCGCCTCCATGAGCGGGATCGGGTGGGCGCGGAAGCTCGGGTTCTCTGGCGCGAAGGTCACGAGAAGCGCAATGTCGTGGCCGCCAGCCTTGGCCTCGTACAGCGCCATCGCGCAGTCCTTCCCGCCTGTCCAGGACACGGCCGATCGCATCGCAGAGTCCGGATATGGAGCTGCATATCCGGATCGGGTCGCGTGGCGTCGGTGGTATATTCAATTTGGAAGGTTTTTTTATGGTGGTGTCACATACTGGTACCTTGGCAGTACGCATGGGCGGTGCGTTTTGAAAGCATATTCCGCCAGCCACAAGCACCGCACCTAGGATCAGTTGCTCAACAGCTCAACCCCTTCTGCGCGGATCGATATTCTGGTGGCTGCAATAGCCGACCGCATGTATTTACCACCAATCAAACACGGTGAAATTAAACATGTGAAAAATGCGTGAATATATAAAGTCTTGGAGGCATCGCCCTGCCAGCACCTTCCAGATTTCGACCAGCATGAGCCGCGTCCTCGTGCTTGGCAGCGCCCAAGTGGGCAAGAAGCATATCGTCGAGGCCGTCGTCGCCGCAGGCGGAGCGCAGGATGCTGCCGAGTGGGCCAAGGCCGATGACCACGCCGTGCTTGCGCACACGCTCGTGACCAAGTACTACTCGGCGCCGATCGCGTTCCACGTGCCCGAAGCGGCGCACGACGTACCGGAGGACCTTTCGCCGTACGAAGGCCTGCTGCTTGTGTGGGACGCGACGCAGAAGGCCTCGTGGAGCCATGCGCAGTCGGTCATGGAGGCCATTGCGTACGCGAGAGCATGGCCTCGAGGTGCTGGTCGCGGTCGCCAACCGCGCATCGCCCGACATGGTGCTCGAGAACATGAACGACTGCTGCTTGGAGCATGGCTTTGAGCACATCGCTGTAAGTCGCGGGGCGTCGAGCGCGGCTGCAGGAAGCGAAACCTCTGGCATCGATCGTCTCGTCGAAGCGCTCCAGTGCAACATGTGGACGTCGATGGAGATGCGCGACGGCGTGCGCCACCCGACGGCCGAGTCGGCCCCTGCAGCAGCACCAAAGGCGCCCACGACGCCGCACCCGACGCCCGCCTCGACGCCGTCGCTGCTCGAGCAGGACGAAGGTTTTGAAGCGCTTTTGCAGGAGGTGCTCAGCATCCGCGAAGACGTCAACTTGCAGCGCCTCACGGACGACGAGCGCCGAGCGCGTGCCGCCGACATGGCCATGAAGCTCATGAGTCTCTTGGGCGACAACAGCGACGATGATGAGAGCAGCGACGACGAGTAGTCGTAGTAGACTGCCGTTGGAGCTCTTGGCATGCGATCTTCTACTAATCTTATATAACTCTCTGGTACATATCAACGTCACGAGTTTGTGTGTGTTGCGGTCCTTTGCCGTCTCAAGCGATCGAGTCATTGTGGCTGACACCACCCAGGCAGCTGCACCGTGCTGCATATGCCCGACACGGAGACTGCACCCGGTACTGCCGCACGAGCCGCGTGCCAAGTACAACATGACGGCTTGTATCAACGAGCTTCTCGACCACGTGCAGTCCAACCTCGTCGTCTTTTCAAGCGATCAAGTCGACAACAGTGAAGCGACGTACTCTGTCTTTCGATGTGTAGCAGCCACTCGCCCTTTATTTACGTCTGAGAATTCGAGTCCCGAACGCTCATCCGCAGCATCGACCGTCCGGCGCGTCTTTCAGGTGTCCTATCTTCCAGTCTGTCGAAAGGATGCATGGATGCATCATTCGACAAGTCAAAAAGTAAGGGCTTGCGATTCTGCCAATGCCCAAGCGAGTGCCATGGACGATGGTGGTCTTTTGGAGCCACGACAAAGGTGTCCATCCATCTCCTCCATCTCGACGAATTGCAATTTATCTACCCTTTATAGTATGGCGTTGTGTTGTCGGCGTCGTGGGGACGTCAGGAAATGACATGCCGTCGGTACTCCCAAAGCTAAAGTCGGCAACTGCGAACTCGAAGTGGCACGCCCAACAGCGGAACTAGCTTTTGCATGTATTACTTTCGCGACACGGACTGCGACGGCGTCATCTCGGACAAGCAGTAAAAGCTACTTGATGAATCGAGCGATGCCTCACCATCCCGCCGTGCTCTTCCACCATATTCCCATCCCCGGGTTCAACCTCGCGTCAAGCAGCCCACCGACGTAGTACGGTCCCAGCCCGGCTCGAGCGGACTTCGGTGCGATCTCCTCGACATGCTTGTCGCGAGTGGGTCTTTCGTCCTAAGGGTATGTTTTCACGCAATGCGTGCTGTCAAGGCCACGGTTGAGGGCCACGACCACTACAACGACTACGGCGTGCTCCAGCGGGGCGTCCAGCTGTGGTACGGCGGCGGTGTCGGCTACGGTGCATCGTCGAAGGAGGTGATATACGTCCTCATGGTGTACATGATAGGGCGGCGTAGGAGACTCAAGCAGCGATTCAGTGGGAGCGCAACTCGACCGACGAAGTAATTTTAACGTGGAAGCAAGAAGATGGCGACGACACCAAGCACGAGTACCTCGTGTACCGACGAGGCATCTTTTCAAAAAGTGCCACTGACGTCTAGTCGATGTACGTAATTGTCTTTAATGCTTTCAATGAATGCATTACGTCGGTCTTTATCATGTTTCGTGGGAAAAATCAGAAAACATGAAATGACCCAAACCTCTTGGAGATTCAGAGTAGCCGTCGCACGAAAGTTATGACAAAGTAACGTAACTCTTGGTCATTACATTCCAAGGCCACGTTGCAACTCTACGCATCGTAGCGAGCAGGCGAGTGGTTTAAAGTCTTTTGTTGAGCTCTGGTGTACTAGTACGCACGCACCAGATGTGTTGGTGGCCTCTCGAGCCGTTAAGGCTCAGCTTGAGGCCTATCCAAAGATTCATGACCAAGGAATCCGCCAAGGTCTAAAGCCTTGCTACTGGTGGACTACGCAGCTGCCATCAAGATTTGAAAATGCTGCACGTAGTGGAAATATGGATGAGTTTGTATGCACGCAGTACGAAACCGTCGGTCTGAGTCTGAGTTGGCGGAATCTGAAGCGACGCATGACCCCTCTGCGAGATTCACCGCAATCTGGTTCCTATCGATGCCTTGTCGCTTTGAATCTTGCGCAGCGCGGGCCAGCTCGATTCTGCATAGATAGCTTCGAGATCACTTTTCCATTTTCCTCGTCTACCACCCACCCAATATGCCCGCGTGCTGGTTGCCTTGTGTTACGACGGCGCTCCTCGCCGTCGCGTCGCTTGCCCAAGACGTCGAGCCAACAGCTCGCGATTATTCTCTTGACGCGGTCGTCGGCAAGGACAGCGCGGGGCAGCCCGAGCTGAGCTTCACCGTGCTGCAGATTCCCGACATGCACTACACGGGCAACCCCAAGTACGCGTGCAACGGCCCGCCCCACAAGCCGTGCGGCGAGTACAACATGACGGACCTCATCGGCCGGCTCGTGGACCACGTGCAGCCCAACCTGATTGTCTTTACGGGCGACCAAGTCGAAAACACCGGCATCAAACATGCAAGACCCTACCCCTCCATCATATGTGTCTCGTAACCGACAATGCTTTTGTAGACCGCAACCGAGGTCAAAAAGGCCATCGACATGTATTCCAACAACGCGATTCAGCGCCAGCTGCCGTGGGCCATGGTCTTTGGCAACCACGACGAAGGCGTACGTCGTTCGATTGGTGATGTTGGACACAATTCTCATGTGTATATCGCGCTAGAAAACCTTCTCGCGCAAGCAAATGATCGACTATATTACGTCGCGACCGTTCGCCTACACCCAAAGCGGCCCCGACGGCATCGGTGGCGCCGGCAACTACGACCTTCAAGTCACTGGCGCCAATGCCAACGCGGTGTTTCGCATGTACTTTCTCGACACGGGGACCAAAGGCGCCGTGTCCAAGGGTCAAAACGACCACATGCGGACGCTCGCAGCCTCGCACGCGTCCGAGAATGCGACGGCAATCATGTTTTATCACATTCCGATCCCAGAGTACATCCTCAGCCCCAATGACAAGATCACGTACGGCCACCAAGGCGAGAAGGTCACCAGCGGTCCGCAGTCGGGTTTGCTCGACACGATTGTCGCGAGTACGCACCGTTCGATGCGACTTGGTTTTTTGTCTCATGAAGCGGCGTTGTAGTGCGCGATGTCAAGGCCACGTTTGTGGGCCACGACCACTACAACGACTACTGCGTTGCCCGTCGGGGTGTCCAGCTCTGCTACGGCGGCGGCGTTGGCTACGGTACTGCTTGCATTGCTCGTCGAAAGCATTCCAACTGAAACTGGTGCTCTAGGTGCGGCGTACGGGGACCCGAAGCTGCCTCGTAGTGCGCGTGTGATTCAATGGAAGCGCAACTCGACAACGGAAGTCCTTACGACGTGGAAGCAGGCCGAAGGCGACCTCTCCAAGCACGAGTATGTACTCTTTGCCAAGGCTGCGTAAACACGCCACTTGAGCACGATAACGTTAACAAGATGACGTGAGTTTATCATCGACAAGCGCGTTAGGTGCGGCTGTAATCGCCAATGTTGGTAGCTCGCGAGTACCGTGGAGCCATGTAAGGATGTGCACAACGTCCGAGCGACAGAGTTGAAGCTCAAGGACTGGTAGGCGAACGACAAGAATCACGCAAGATGATCACGCGACCAATAGACTCAGGACGACAACTTTTCTGGCCATTTATATGTGATCTGACTCTTGAGCCCTATTTTTCTTCTCCCGGAGCATTCCGGTCTCGCTGTGTACGCGGCGAGTCGTATGCGCATTCCGCTTCAAGCTGGCTTGCCCGACTTTATCAATTCGACGCGAGCGTGGCTATGTCTTTTGCCGCGCGTCGCGTTTGCCGCCCGCTCCGAGGTCGCCATCTGTAGTGATGTGCAACAAATAAACAGACGTAATTGATGCGCTGGACCAATCAGATACATTGTCCATGACCTCTAGTTTGGCCCTTTTGACCAAGCCGACTGCTCGCACCGCGTGGCGTTCGCATCGAGCACCAGGTGGCACCCCTCGCGCCCGGTTAGAAATCAGCTCAAGGTGTCCAGTGACCACGTGCTGCGATCTTTTGCACGTCCCTTCTGTGCAACTCGGTCATGACATCCACGAGAGGATTTGAAGTGGCGTCCGGTCCTAAACGATGTTGGTCCTGGGATCGAGGCTCATGGGCCTCGTCTGCATCGAGCGCAAGTCAAGTTGCATTCGCCTGCTAGCATCGTGGATACCTCCTCGCTTGCTTCAAGTTGGCACCGCATCGCGCTGGTAAAGCTAGTGGATCAAATCTATCTATTCTATTCATTGTACAAGAAAGTTATAAAAGGATCGCAAACTCATCTACACTGACAGGACCTCCATGTCGAGAAGCGCAATGAGCGTGTCGAGGGCCTCGGCGAGTGGCGGGAGTGGCGTCGGTGTCCGCGACGAGGGCTCTTCGAGTGTCGGCGGTGCCTCGGGCGAGAACGGGAACGGAAAGTACACGTCTCGGTTCTCGAACGCTTGGTTGGTTCGCACGGCGCGGTCCTGGCGGTCGAGCTTTTGTCGAAATTTCTGCGCGTGCGTTTGCGTCTGGCGCGTCGTGCGGGTCTGGACGATGGCCGCGACCTTCTTCCATGGACCGTGGGGATACGTTTGGATGCCGACAAGGAACCGCTCGTGCTCTTCGCGGGACCACTTGCCACCGTTGCTGCTGGCAGTATCCTCGTTGCTGCAGTGGTGCTCGGGGGTTGTCTGCAACATGGCGAAACACAAAGTGCAGTGACCTCGATTCGGGTCGCAGTATGGCGCACAAGGGCTATATCATACCACAGTGAAGGCCGTATGTGTCTCATGCACTCGGAGGGCGTCACCAAACATCCCACTCTAGCCTAATGTCGTCCCACCCCGTCCCTTCTACAGCCGTGTCTCGATTAGTATCGAAACACGGTACTCGACAGTCCACTGTGCACCAAACGGAGGCGCATCTGGAACGGCACACTAACTGCCCTTCGCGCCAAAATCGCAGCTCGTAGCTTCGACAACAGTACAGTCCGCTAATAAATGCGAGCTTGTTGCCACTTTAAAGTGATGATACTCCCTCGTAGCAGCCGCTGCTTTGGTCTGCAACAGAAAAATAAGACATGTCATCATCTCCGTCGCCATGTTCGTTCATCGACTCTCGTGTTGAACTATTCTACCAGTCGTCCTTGACGCCTCCCCAATGGAACACGCAATTATCGATACCAAGTACTCCAATCGATGACCTTACATGAGTTTTCCATCTAATTGCCCCA